CCAGAACGTTCGATCTGGCCACGTGGTCCCATGATAGAGGTCTGATTTTGAAGACGCGAAAGAATATCTATGCCAGGAGAAGCGATATGTTTGGCGAAGTTGTACGCGTGGCATCCGTGAAAGTAAGTTTTTCTCGAATTTCGCACTAATGGTTGCGAGTAGCGACAGAAAAGATTGCGGACGATAACCTTTCTCGTAGAAAATAATAACCTTGAAAAAAAATCTTCTGGATATTGATATTAGAATTTAACGATGATTAGACTTGTAGATTCGAATTTAACGATGATAGACTTGTAGATTGACTTGACAATTTTGTTGATAAATGTTCACAGAATTCGCCGCTAATCTCATTGAAGAACGGTACGCTCGGCGGGTTTTTTGGTCTGATGCTGATAGAGCTCAGTAAAACGATGAACTTCACTATAGAGATTCTGGATCAAGTGGATGTATCCGGTAGCTGGAGCGAGCAGCAGAAAATTTGGACAGGAGCGGTCGGCCAGTTGGTGGCCAATGAAGCCGACATTGGTGTCTCCGGATTCACGATGGTGACCACCAGATGGAACGCAATTGATTATACGATACCATTAATACGCTCGCAATATCACCTCTATTTTAAGGAGTCCAGCGGGCCCAACGTGCAATGGAACTTATACTTAAGGGTAATAATACTTTGTCTTTATATTAATGATATGCATTAATTAATAAAAGAAAATCGCAAAACTGAAATAGATCTAATCTTCTAAAGAGATATCTATTTATTTCTCGGAGACTAAACGTTGCTTTATCGAAATTAAACGTGACGTTATCAATACTAATAAAAACATGATTAGTTTAAAGATGTAAAGCTCATAATTCATATGTTCTATGACTTGTTTATATACATATAAAATTAGCTAAAACAATTCTACAAATGCAAAAATAACTGTATTACGATTTTCTGTTGCAAATTCTTTTTTCAATAATATAGGATATATTATTGTTAATATCAGATTGTTGTACATATTTGTAGTGTCCTAACACTATCTTTAACATATGTTTCTTTCTTACATGCAGAGAATGGATTAGCCAGCATAACTAAAAGATATAGCCATGACAACTAATGTGTGTCTTTAAAAGAGGGACAGCTAATATCGTTACTGCCAAAGCTAAAATTAGTTATTAAAATTTAGATGCTACAGCAAAAAATATTTGCTGCTAGAATCAAATGACGTTTAGCTAATTTTATTGAGAAATATCAAGCAAATCTTTTAAATTAATTTTTCATCAAAATTATTTTTTCCGTATGTCACTTATTTCTTAGTTATTTCTGTTAAAATGCGCTTTTATTTTAGCTAATAAAATTGTATCTCGCAACAAATATATTTTATCTTTAATAGCTAACTTTTAACAATAACAGCAAAGTTTGAACTAGCTATTGATATTTAGCTGATAACGTTAAGTCATTTTTTTATGTTTATTTTTGTCGATTTTGACTGATTTTTGCAAATGCTTATTTTTTTCACCTTATAAAAATATTAAATATTACGAAATTCTAAAATAGTA